TGTTGACAATTGGTTGAATAATTTGAGCAGCTGAAATTTTGTCTGCTTTGAGCAGTTCGGGGGCAATATTGTCCGGGCCAGCGGACTTACCTGCTTTAAGCTGAGTTATTGCTGCCTCAATTTCACTGATGTTAGGTACATCTGTGTTTATATCGTTGCGAGCAACATGTTCGTGGTGTCTACTACATAGTTCCTGCTGAGGATAGGTGTTGTTTCCCGCTAGGAGATTTCTGTAGTGATCTTCCCAAACTTTTAACTGATCTTCGGTAGAGTGTACTAGTTCGCCCCTGGTATTTTTTATTGGCTTTGCAATCCTGTGTTTACGTCCCACCATAGCTTTAGTGATGTTGTGTAGGTCTTTGAGCCTATGTGATTCGCTTGCTTTTTGGGCTTCTGTTGCTAAATTGTCGAGCCATCTGCGCTTATCGGCTCTAGCGCTGCGTTTAACTTTGCGGTTGGCAATACTGTAGTTGGCTTGTGCCTGTTGCTTTGTTTGGCGCGTTCTTGCCCTGTTAACCTTTTCTTTTTCTCCTTTGCGCGCTTTTATAAGATTCCATGTATGTTCGGTGATCCACGGATTATTTTGACGTTGAGGAATACCGACACTTTGTTGTGCTGCTTCAGTGAAGGCACATTTTGCTTGTTCCCAATAAGTTTCGGCTTCAAAGATTTCTTCTTCTAGTGGCAAGGGATTAGGGATTTGGGCCGATAAAAGAGATTGATAGTTATTTTGAACAGTAGGGTTGTCGAGTTTGGCGAGGTCGAACCGTTTCCTTTTGAATTGTGGCTTTCTAAAGACCGCATTTAATTTGAGTTGTATTTCACCGATTAGTAGATGGTGGTCAGAAGTCATGTCTGCACTTCTTTTATTTCTGACATCACATAATGAATGTCTCCACATTTTGCTGATGGCAATGTGGTCGATTTGATTTTCTGTTGCATTATCTGGGGAAACCCAAGTGACTTTATGCAAATGTTTGTGCGGGAAGAGACTACCTCCTATGGTGAGGCCCATGGTGTTACATAATTCATAGAAACGCTCCCCATTATCGTTCATTGTGCCGAGAGCATGTTTCCCCATCACTTGCTTTCTTCCATTGTTATCTGGCCCGATTTGTGCGTTGAAATCTCCCATGACGAGCTTTATTTCACCTCTAGGGCATTTATTTAAAACAGAGTATAGGGAGTCATAAAAATTTTCCTTGATTTGTGGGTCGGTGACTTCAGTAGGCGCGTAACACTGTATGCATGTGAGGGTTCTGGCTCGAGTTTTAAATTTTGCCAGAATTATTCGGTCGCCATGTGGTTGCCATTCTATGAGCGCTTGTTTAGCTTCTTTGGATAATAGAAAGCCTACTCCACTTTCTCTTTTTTCGCCTGTGGCCTTTCCAGAGTATATGAGTGTAGCGCCGGAGGATGTTTTGTATTCGCCGCAGCCATTCCATCTTACTTCGCTTAGCCCGATGAATAAAAGATTGAGACGTACAAATTCACGTTCAAGTTGAGCAAGTTTTGATGTTTCTGCTAGAGTTCTTATATTCCAGGTTCCGAATCGTTTCCGTATTTTCATTCCAATAGTCGTCATCAAAGGGAGCCGTTGGTTATAATTATTTGTTTCGGTTTCAGTAATCGTGTAGATTCAGATGAACGAGTGATTAGCACATGCATCCTATACTGGTACTGGGGCTGCCAGTTAAGGCCACCAGTCAGACCTTCAGACTCGAGAGTCCGAGAAAACGGTGGGCTTCTTAGCGAAGATTGAAGATGCTGTATCTTGCCTACATCCCGGGACGTCATGGAGGAAAAAGACCATCCGGGTCGCGAACCGTTGTGGATTGCTCTTAGCTTCAGATGCTCCTCTTTGACCTTACCGGCAAGGGAGGCCCTACCAGTAGCTACGCTACCGCCGGCATCGCTCTCAGGATCATTGCACCCTACTAAGTACTCGGTACTTGTAGTCTCAAAAATTTATCCACGAATAATGAAATATTAGTATCTAAATTTTCCAAAATTTGAATAAGTTCAAAACCACTGATGATTGGGTATTTGGCAATACAGCTGTATGGACAGTCAAAAATTCAATTAGTTAAAAAATAATAATAAAGAATTGTTGTTGTAATTAACTACTGTTCAAAATACGTCTCGAAAAAAATTTTATTTTATTGGTTTTATATAAAATACTATTTCTATTAAGAAGTGTAATTAATATTTAATTAATTATACATATTCAAATGTTTGAGGTTAAATGCAGTAATTAACATTCGCATTCATAAATTATTCAAAGGACAATGCATAGTGCAAATTTGATAGGATTGTTTAGCTTATACAAAGGACGATGTGCATTCGAGCATATAGTAAAGGCCTTTTGTGAAGTGACATATATGTACATATATATGTATAATATTAAATAACTACAAAATGAATTGTCCTTTTAAACATTGCTGAAAATTAGCTCAAAACATTTCCGATTAAAACACATATAATTGCAAATAATAATTACACATTTATATGCCAACATATTAATTGAAATTGTATTCATTTTAAAGGTACTACATATTATTATACATATGTATATAAATTTATATACAATATCAATATATTTGCCTTATAATTATTTTACAAATATATAGTAGTTTACATACATTCATACATGCATATATCGGCATTTCATGGATGTAAGTCCATAGTAAATTGCATTTCATGTATTTTAGTACAAATGTGCTTCCCTCTATTCCTTTATCCTTTTCAAATATTTATATGTTATTTATTCCATTTATATTTTGATTTCTTCCTGGAGAAATGTCATATTGTTAAATTAAATCGTTGACAATTTTCTGCGTTTTCAATTATTATCAATTTTTCCTTCTAATTTAATTTTGCTTTGAAGTTATTTTTACGTGAATAAATCGTAAGACCATCATTTCATGTGAAGTATTAATTTTTTATATTGACCAACTTTTGATATGTCCTTTTTATTAAATCTATTTTTTTCCATATATAAATTTTGACATTTAAAACAAACAAGCCACACCGGAAGTGAAACCTATTTGACCCTTCAATGCATTTGTCACATTATTTGTGTTCATATTATGACAGTTTGTCTGGGCTTTCTGATATGACAATTTCATAAGACAATTTCAATGTCCAAACCATTGCGGTTCATATCTCACCGCAGGACACCATACCTTTCCATACAATAACTGCTCTTGAGCATGTGATTATTCTATTGTCTTTGAAAATTGGAATCAATTATTGAATAAATCGAAATGTTTTGATTGGTTTCGATTTAATTTTTCTTTTTTATTATTATTATTTTTTTACAATTATTTTTGACATTTTTTTAGTTTCTAACTTATAACTTACTATATTGTACAAAAATGAATGTCTTCAGAACAGTTTTAATTCGTAAGACAATTTAATAAAAGCGTAAAAAGATTTTAATTATTTAAATATTATTTTGTTTATTCTCTTCTCTTAAAACTTTCTTTCTTCTTTCGATGTAAACAAGTAATTTCTAAACTACATCGTTCTTCGGCTGTCTGCCGCCTCTCTTCTCTGATCTTTCTATTATTCTCCTCCATCCAATATCTGCACATGAACATATAGTAATCTTCTATTGTCTTTTAAAATTGAAATCAATTATTAGAAGGCGTTCTTTGTGGTGTGGTAGTATGGTAGAAGTTATTTATGCTCGAATAACAACTAAACATAAACACAGATTTAAAATGACCCATATATATTTTGTACAGATCTTTATATATGAGGAGCTTATAAATCAAATATCACTTTCTTTCAGTGTTTCAGTTATATTTAGGAAGTTTGTCTATTGTATTGGGTCATACACATAAAGAGTCATGTAATATTATCAGCATTCAGTTCACATTTATAAATATAAGTAGCCATCTATCTGTTTCATAGGGACATATATAAGAGAAATTATGTAATTCCACTATTATTCAGTGTCCACATTTCACAATTATAAGCAAGAATAGATCTAATTAGGTTTATGCTGAGATATGAAAATCCAAAGAATATATTATCTACAATGAATTTATCTTAAGCTCTCTTCTATATACTAGCACACATACTAGCGTACATATTAGCAGCGTATTATCGTCCGTATAAATAAAGACTTAGATGTTATTATTAACAATTTTTAAAAAATTTAAAGCTACTTGCAGTAATATATAATATGTTGTTGTTTTTTCATCAAATAAAATGACCAGCAAAACGCAAAAAAAAATTTTTTTTAAAAATTTTATCAAGTTTGAAATTAAAACTCAAACTATTTTCAATCTGAAAGAATGCAAATATTATATGTATGCACTTGTCATTCTTATTCTCTTAGTCTATCACAACATTATCTCTAGTTTATACTACATTTTCGATATCATTATGCCGACAGAATTTTTCCAAATCACAACAAAAACTGCTTCACAGTATGCTACATAAATTGCATTGGTCATTTATATTTTACAACATAAATAAAACGTGCCTACAGATATACGTACAAAGAGATACAGCTATATTAGATATACAAATGGAGAGAGGGATTAAAAATCATATTCCCTCTTATCAGTCTATTACTTTTAAAACAATCTGATATTATAAAATAAATAATTTAATATAATAATTTATTATATAAATTATGGTTCATTTTTTATAAGAATAACCAAAAAAGCTTTCACGACCTAAAAGCACACATATCGTAAAAGCTTTCTAGTTGTTTTTAAAAATACCGTATTACATTTATAAAGCTTTAATAATTAAAAAAGCTCATATTTTCAAAAAGTTTATGAAAGCTATTTGTAATGATTTTCGAATTCGATATTCAACAGTAAATTGCAAAAAACAAATCTAATAGGTTTCTTCTAAAAAGGAATGCATATATTTTATAAAATCTGGTAAACAAAGTGTTAGCACCAAAAACATAGAAATATATGTTTATGTTAGCACAAGATTTTCAGCTTAAAAATATAGCTTGACTGCTTTCTACTACTACTACTTTCTGATTACTTTCGAATAAATTTTCTGTAATTCTAAGCTTATTTTTAGCACTTATTTAAATTCAATCTTAATCCATGATACGAAACTCTTACAGAATTTACTTTTTCCTTCGCACTATTAACTTAAGAGCGACATTGGGCATTTACCTGTCTTATTTTCTAATCCTATGAGAAATTAAATTTTATATTAGCAAAGACAAAATTTATGCCGATATGTGGCATTGGTTAAATTAGGTTCAAAGCTGAATTCATTTCAGACTCCATGTATTCATAACCACAAATCCGCTGCATTATCCTCTATTTCATGTTTTTAAGTAAACATCGACATCTAATAAGAAGTGTCATCTTCCAGTAATTTAATTTTTTTAAGTATAGAGTTTTCTGTCACATCGTGTTTTTTAATTTAAGAACAGTCTGCCAGACTTGAACCAATTTAGTTTCCTTGATAGTTTATTGACGATGCCGACATCAGTTTTTTTAGGCTTTTAGAAGGTCTTTATGTTATGATATTACCTCTAATAGAAGTATTATTATGGCTGTGGTTAAGCTACAAAGTTGTAACAGGCGGACAAATTCAGTAGATAGCACTTGATATTGTTTGGAATATAAATGCTAGTGAGCAAGTTTCACTTAGGGCATCCGACAGGAAATGTAAATCTAAAACCACGGAGTTCACGACCCACAGCTTCGGCTGTGCTGGTCAATTGACAGAATAGAAGCATCATTGTGGCTGCGGTTACAGTCTAATGGTACACGGGTAGAATGACTGTATTTATTACTTTCATTAAATATTGAATTACTTCTTACAACCGAATGCTGTGTCCAAATAACAACAAAGATATTCACACGTATAACATTATCTTCCTTCCTCACAGCATGATCAGACAACAAAGCAATTAGATGTGTATACGTTGGACAATGTTATGATAAGTTGTAACCTTTCGATATTCATTTGGATGTGGTTCGTCATCTACTGGAATGCCGAGATTTTACCAAAAATTCTACTTTTATGGGAGCTAAAATGAAGTAATATGTTCAATGTCTAAGTTCACTGTTTATTTGAAGGTCTTAATATTCTATTATAATTTAATGCATATCTTTGTAAGATAACCATGCATTTTAGTCATAGAGTTGTTATAGCAAAATAGAGTTGTTATCTAAAAATCTTAAGACTGTAATTTTAAAATTTTTAACCGGGACGCATAGTTTCGAATAACAAAGGTAGGCGTTAAAACAAAGCATGTACTGCCATAAATATATCTCTCAAAAATAACTGTAACATAAATCTGAGCAGTTTGTATAACTAAATATAAATATAGAAAACATAATTCCGCGTAAAATATTATTGTTGTTGTGGCCTACAGTTAAAGCAAATAATAAAAGAGGAGTTACATAAACGTACATATTGGGTTAGGATGTGGGTAGGTAATACAAAAATATGAGATAGTATGAGAACGGAGAAGATTATTTCGGAATTAAAATTGATTGGGGATGGGTAGAATTTGAATTTCAGTCACCCAGATTTAAGGCAGAGAAAACTAACGACTTCAATGTGGCAGGTTCA